AAATAATATTAAGAGTCAAAATGCCACTGCCCCTGAACCATGCTTAAGAACCTACACATCAGCTGTAGTTATGTTACCTTTTGTAGTAGTCGAGTTCAGAGCCGCACTGACGTGACGAGAGGGCGGAGAAGCGAAAACATTACCAGCTACAGCGGCTGTGAGCATTCCGGGACCAATATAGCCTTAACAGCTGCTCTAATGGATGAATATCGAAATTATTGGATGTTGTCAGATGGCTACCAATCGCTAACTCACCTGCAGCGTAGGGCTCGTGTCCCGATCCGCCACCAGCTATGAGAGTCACCATGCCTTTTGCACAATAGTCAGCATAGTCAGCACGTAACGTTACGCGGCGACAGCTCTGAAACCACATCTGCTTGAGGACGTGCGCCTCTTGGTAACAAACTGTTTCGGATTGATGATCGCTATGAGCATTTGTCACCTGCGAAGCCAGGTGATTCAGTATTGAGGAATACCTCTGCTTGGACATTCTCTTTCGGTTCAGCAGCTCCAATATAGTATTAGGTTGTCCGGAAAGTTCTCAGCGTTTTGTGCACCTATTTTTTGTACATTCACTGCTGATTAAAAACTCATTCTGCCTTGCTTCTCAGTAGCACATCCTGTAGAGAATTTCTTGCGCTATCTGATGGTATAATTGCCGTTTCACCATTGCTTGATAAACCCCCTTTTTTCAAGATTTTTTCAAGCATGTGAAAAGAGCACTTCGGACGATTTTTTTCTTCGACTATAAATTGGGGCAATCCGCAATCGAAACAGCTCAACAAATTAACCAGGTGTGGGGGCCCAATAGTGCTAGAGAAAGCACTGTGCGGCAATGGCTCAACAAAATTTCGTTCTGGAGATTTCAGCCTTGAAGATGAACCTCATAGCGGTCGACCTAAAGCAATATCTGACGAGGATTTTAGGGGGATTTTGGAGGCTGACCCATCCCAAACAGTTCGAGAGATAGCAGAAGAGCTAGGCAAATCCACTGTTGCAGATGGTCTGGAACGCATTGGGAAGGTGAAAAAACTCGACAATTGGGTGCCCCACAATCGGAGTGACCGGCAGGAATCGGCACGTCTCGAGGTTCCTTCTGCATTGCTTTTGCGCAGCAGAAACGACCTGTTTTTGGCCGAATTGTCACCTGTGATGAAAAATGGGTCATGTATGATAACAGGAGACGTTCCGGACAGTGGTTGGATTTCGACGAACCACCGAGGTAATTTTCAAAGCCGAACCCTCACGAAAAAAAGATTCTGGTCACGGCTTGGTGGTCATCGGCTGGTGTGATCCACTATAACTTTTTATCACCAGGCCAAACCATCACAGCAGAACCCTACTGTGAAGAATCGACGAATTGTAAATTCCTTTTGCATGACAACGCCCGCCCACACGTTTCACAAATCACTATCCATAAATTGAACGAATTGGGGGTTGAAGTTCTACCTCAACCGCCATATTCTTCAGACCTTTCGCCAACCGACTATCACCTTTTCTAACATTTTCAGAACTCCCTTGCTGGAAAATACTTCATCAATCAGGCAAAAAAGCCTTAGTGGATTTCGTGAATTTTCGACCACCCAGTTTTTTACTTTGATGGGATTTCTCGACTGCTGTCACATTGGCAAAAGTGTGCTGATTCGAATGGTGCCTATTTCGATTAAATCCGATGAGTATTAAAAAAGTTACGATCGTTTAAAGTGAAACACCCAAAACGCTGAGAACTTTCCGGACAACCTAATATTACAGCTGACAGCTGCGCCATTCGACCGCCCTACAATTCACCGCGCTGGTGGGCACGGATGGCGACGCCGAGCCATCGCGTACGAGTTGTGCTGTGTGATGGCTCCGTCGAGTTACCGAAGGGAACACGGACAGGTCAGACAACGTATGGTCGACGACGCAAAACAACCCATGGATTTTTCTGACCTGTCAAAGCAGCTTCAAGACTGCCACGCCACTAATCCCGCGCCATGTGAGCACCGTGACCGGGTACGTAGCGATTCTATCACGGGTGGCCGCGGTGTTGGGCGTGGCCTGTGACGCCGCAATCTTTGCTACGAGCTGTGTTGTCTCATGGATCATTTGAATTATCAGAGAGATCTCATCCATTGCTTCTCCAAAGAACGCGCTATGAACAAGAGTAGATCCCTCGTTTCTGTGTCTGGATTGGACGGTGTAACCTCATTACCTTGTGATAAAACTGCCCATTCACGTGACGACTACCTCCCCGGCTAATGCCGTTTGGACTCCAGAAATTTCGGCTCCGAGCTCATTTTCAAATTGCCTAAGTCACCAAATCCACTAAAAACTTGTATATAGGGGTAATTCAACATCCTGATTACGAGTATGACACATTCTTGGCGCTGGCGCCAAGAGAGGACACTACGATTACCTCCTGGGCTCAGCCTTAGCAGAGCGCAGGTAACCGTAGTGTCATCCATTAGCGCCAGCGCCAAAAATGAATGTCATATTCGTGATCAGGATGTTGAATTACCCCTATATACAAGTTTTTAGCGGATTTGGTGATCTTGCCACTGTCAAATGAGGCTCGGCGAACGAAATTGGGAATCCCGGCATTAGCCCCTCCCCCCATCCCCGACGCTTTAATGAGGCTCTTTCGAAACCCACGTATCTCGGCGGGTAGGGAGTAGAAGAGCAGATGTGGTATTGTCTGCAGCGTGCTCTCGGGAAAACTCTCCAGCGAGCAGATGCGGTGCCTACTGTTGCCGCGGCGATGGAGAAAAAGGCATATCCGCAAGAAATAACGCGGAACATTTTCGACACTTGGCTAGATAGGAAGTGATCTATCGACATGGACAGTGATATCAAGGTCTCACCGTGTCACGTCGTTTAGACTTCTGCTATCACGTGCCTCCCGTCTCTTGTCGGCCAAGGCAATCCGCAGCGAGCGATCCGCTCGGGCGCCGCGTACGCGCCACCAGTGAGTTTCTCTTTACCCCCTTTCGCGTGCTCCCTACCCTGAAGATGTTCGCAACGAACTTCGAGGAGCACCCGCAAAATCACTACTGATGTAAGAGTGAATGTATGGAATAGGTTTGTAAGTAGAAGATCGATACAACCTTTAGCAAAAAGAGCTTTGTTTGACAATGCACACTGTAGGTTAGGGGGGGACAGCAAGTAGGCATGCTGCTCAGTTCGCCTGCTAAGCTATCGAAAGTATGATGTATTCCGATCCCGTTGATCCAAGTCCGGTGAGAGCGTCATGCGACGGTCCATCCACGGATCGTGAACGATTTCTTGTGTATACGCGCGGCCATTGATCGGTCGCTTGTTGAATCGAGTAACCGGAGTAGTAGAATTGCTTTTTGATACGTTATGAATGGATCGACCTATTACTAGCAACGTGGAAAGTTTCAACATCAAGTGATGTGGATGACGAGTTGAAAACAAAAGAGTGAAGAAAGAAACACGCTATGCGCGTTATCCGATTGATAAAAGTGTAAGGGGGTTACTGAACGAGACTCGATCAATACAGAGTACTCGTGCTGCGACGCATTGGAGCGACACACAGCAATCTTTCACTGATTATTGAGGTGATTTGCTTCTGATATGTCCCTTACTTTTTTTGCGATAAAGGGTGCGGAAAAATTTTGCAACAAGACACTCTAAAATGCTAAATGGTGGGTAATTTTGAAGAAGCAAAAAGGGTTTGATTAGAGGATGTAGGGATTATGCAGCATGTTGTTTTTTAAGATGCCCTCCAGATCGGAGATAGCTTATCTTCAAATCAGCAATTTATACGCACGCGCGCTTATCGAGTCGCGGGGAGTTTTGTTTCGGTGAACACTATTACTCTATACTAGAGCGGGGTACGATCGAGAGCAGATGAAGTGGTAGAGTCATTAGGCTTTCTTTCGAGCAGTGTGAGACGCATTTGACCCCGATAGAAGTCATCAAAGTGCCCAGCTCTGCATAGGATTGCTTCATGAAACCAAACACTTTCGAAGATAATAAGCTGCGTTCATACTTTGCGTCAGCGTTCTGAAAGTGCACCAGCGTTTTCTACGGCTGCCCGCCGGAACTCAGAAGTGCCCGCGAAAACGTTCTAAACGCTGGCGTACGCTGAGAACGCTCAAAACGCTGAAGCAAAGTGTGGACGCAGCTACAGTTGCAGTGTAATGTCGAACTGTAGCTTGAGTAAATTCGGCCGCGTTCATACTTCGCCACTGGACGGATTCAATCGCACGATTTGGGGTCTGTGACTGAGTGTACTACATCGCAAATTGTTGGACCACTGAAGTGATTAAAAACTCCATTCTTTACGTGATTGAATAGATGGTTATAGTGGTCCAACATTTGCGGTGAAACACTGTCAGTCACTAGTTATCATTTCGTGCGACTGAAGCGCTCGAGTCGTGAAGTATGAACGGCCGAGAATAAGTCGAGAAGGACCTGCGCATATACCGCAGATTCCACAATATTTCATTCTATGCATGCTTCCTGATAATAGCTGAGTCGGTAGGTTGTGTTCTTACTTTGCGACTTCAGTTGCTCACCCGCGTGATAGGAAGTCTTTGTTAGGCTCGGACGAATCGCGCTCCTACGCTAATTGTTAGACTGCTGCAAATAATCACACTGAGTTAGATATGACTGTTGCAGCGGTCGGATGCAATCGCGCGATTGAATCGCTTAATCGCGAAGTATAAACGCGACCCCGTTGGAGGCTCAATCTTTGTTTTAGAAGGGGAAGGGGTCATACCTGAGCAGAAAATTCCGGGGAGTAGGGGGGGGGGTTGTTGTATTTAGCGAAATTTCCTCAAAGACCCTGTCTGCGTCAGTCTGTTAGCGGTCCTACAGAAGGGACCAATGTCACAACCTCTGACCATTTTGCCTGACCATAAGCATTTTCCTCCCCACCCGTCGCCGCTAGGGCGCATCCTATTATGTTTTTTGTTGAATTTATGAATCAAGAACCATTATACGGCGATCAGGTGAATGATGTAGAGTATAGCTGTCGCTTCCAGGCCTCCTCCATCCTTGTAAGAAAAAAAATTACGATTTTTGATAGACAACAGTGGAGAGGTACGGTCGGTGTAGAGTGCACAGAAGTGCCACGAGAAGGTCGTATTTAGCCGCTACGAGGGGGGGGGGGAGGTGTTTAATCATGAGAAAAAAGTTCGGTTGTTAACTCGGCACTAATGAACTATCC